GGGGTCTTTTAGTGTATGTAAACTTCTGGTTTCAATTCATTTTGTGTCCTCGTTATATTTTTTAACTTTGTTTCCATCTTTCCTTTTAACTGATTATTTTGGTGTGTTGAGACATTATTATTATTGTTGTTGTTTTTATAATTATTATTATTATTATAGGTGATTCAGTGACCAGTCAGAATACTTTTACTAAATCCTGGTTTGTGTGACGAGAACCGTGGCTGTTCCAACAGTAAGTCTGTGCCTCACATGAGAGGCTTGTTATTGTGGGAAGAGGTTCTGTTGAAGGTCATTAAATGTACAAAAACTAAACGAGGTGATTCTGTTAATTTACAGTGCATCGCGGTCTGGTTTTAATCAGCTCACCATCTGAAGTCACGTGCTCGTATCGTGAGCTCCAGCGTTGTTTTTGTCTCAGATGTTTTCATGAACAGCTTCTGCCATGATTTATTTCTGTTCCCTCCTCTGTTCTAGAAAAATATGCCCAAGTTCAACAAAATCCCATTCTACCTCCAGCCCCATTCTTCCTCTGGTGCAAAAACACTCAAAAAGTAAGTTGAAACTTTTCTACGTTGTAGCAGCAGAAACTGAAACTTGTGCTCTGAGGAGCAGGCGAGCTGCAGCCCACTTCAGATCGGATCGTCTTCTTGTCTTTAGGGACCGTCTCTCGGCCAGTGATATGCTCCAGGTGAGGAAGGTGATGGAGCACGTTTACGAGAAGATCATTAATCTGGACAACGAGTCTCAGACCACCTCAGCCTCAGCCAATGATAAACCAGGCGAGCAGGAGAAGGAGGAGGACATGGCCATGCTAGCTGAGGAGAAGATTGAGCTAATGTGTCAAGACCAGGCACGCTGACTGATTTCTTTTTTTTAACACACGAATAATCGTTGTGCCAATTCTGGTGCATTTATATTTGTAGAATATTGGTTAATGTGCACTGTCCTTTTAATTAAATAAAACGTAAGAGTTGTTAGTAACCTTTTGTGTTTTTCAGGTTCTAGACCCCAACATGGACCTGCGGACAGTTAAACATTTTATCTGGAAGAGTGGAGGGGACTTGACACTTCACTATAGGCAGAAGTCCACATGAAAGTCGTCATTTTTACAACCAGAACTGTCATTTGCCAATCACCACCCACCTCCAACATGTAGTACCCTGTTTCCCATTGTGTGGTCCAGAGTGGCGGTATCGACTGCTGAATCCCGTAAACGTGAGGACGATTCATGATGTGTCATAGGGAGACCTGAGCACTCCGGCGCAGCCAACACACTCCTGGGAAAGTACGAGGTCCATATTGGTTTTTTAACACCTCGAGGAAGTTTTTTCCAGATTTCAGCCGTTTTTTTTTTTTCCTCTGATCTTTGCCTGACTGACGTTTGTTTCGAGACAACTGAAGTTCCAGTCTGTATTTGTGTCCGACTGTGTTTATGCACATGGATGTAGTAGACCACTCTAGTACATTCCAGAAACTGTCCTTGTTCTACGAACACTTTGCACCTGTCTGAGCAGAGCCGACACCGCAGGAGTACATCTGGTCTCTGGGTAGCATCAGTCCCCCAACAAGCCCTGGACTTCAACTCACACATCAGACGCAACACTTCCTGTGGCGTTTTTCTTTTTTTTTAGCTGTGCTGTTCCATAGAATGTTATTTTTTGTAAATATACGTGCAACATTTTTGATTCAAATGAGTTCCTTTTGCAGCAGGTTTTTGTTCTTGTACAGTTTTCATACGAACTTACGGTAACCTTTTTCCCCCAAAATTCCAAGAGCACTTTCATGGTCATGACCGTAGTTTGACTCGACCATGATGACTACATTTGTTGTATTCACAATGCCCTTCATGTCCAAGTCATTATTAGAAACCTTGATAAGGTATATAAAGAACTCCTGCTCACAAAGAGAAGATGCTGACAGTGAAGGGTTTCCTTGTGTGTGTCATTTAGATTTAATAAGAGTAAATATAAACTGATTTTTAGAGCCACTGTGGGAAACTCTCCAAACTGAAACCATGTCCAACAGGTCTGTTGTTTAGTGGAGTTAATGTTGCCATGGCACGCGAGTGTGTAAGACGCCATAAAGGAGGATGCACCGAGTGAGCTCTAATTGGCCAAACCAGAACATGTACCACGATGAGGCCACGCTGCTGCAATATTCCTTGTAATAACTTGAGATATGTATATTTTAGGCATTCAAACTTAATTGGAACGGTCTTAAGAATGATGAAACCTGTCGGGACTATCCGTGGATGTTGAGATGTAACGTGTTCAGCTGACGAGCGTGAAATAAAAACAAGGGACACTTTTTTTTTAAAGTGATTTAACATTCAAAAGGTTCACTCATTTAACAATTATCAAAACATACCTAACAAAACATACAAATCATTAAATATTTGCAAAAATACCCTTATTTTTACACACTAGCTCCTACTCTGGCCCAAAAAAATAATTAAATAGCCCCATAAACAGACTGCAGTAAACATGTGAGTCCTGTTAGGAACACATTATGTCTTTAAACCTCCAGGCGGATCATTTTGCATAGACCCCATAAATTACAGGCATAAAACTAGCTGTATTACAATAATTCTCATTAAAAAACTAAACCATTTTGCACATCTGCAGTAAAAACACAATTTTTTTTTCAGCCCAACATTCCTACCTTTAAAATCCAATACGATGGACACTGAAGTGTCCCGTGTCCTATAACTGACTGCTCTGAGTAAAAGTGTAAAACCCCTTCAGAGTCGTGACGGTGCACCGACGTCGCTCTAGTGTATAAAGCTGATTATGTGAAAGATACTGCAACCTCATGAAGAGACAATCTGCCTCTCATCCATAGTGTGTGTTTACCTACGGAAGAGTCCAAGTGATGTGTTGCTGCGTATCAAAGCTCAGACCTGATGAGCTAAGCACGCAGAGAAAAGTGTTTACATTGACTACGTACCCACATGTCACGACTCATGTCAACACATCTGGAAAACTACTGAACTCTTCAAACTGCACGCTTCAGGATAAACGCTCTGTTTGACTTGACGGCGTGCAACGAGTACCTTTAAATGTTTGGAAGGTGCAGCTGTGCTTTGCACTAGTAAATGTTTGTCACTGGAACGATTCAAGTCTTTTTCTCTTTAGTGTAGCAGAAACTAAATATTTCATTTAACCCTCTATCCCAGGGGTGTCCAAACGTTCTCATAGGTGGGCCAGAACCATCTATGTGAAAGGACTCGAGGGCCAGAAAATTTTGAATTCAAGAAAATTATACATTTTCAAAAGCGTGATTTTATTTTCCCCCTCGTTTTTAAATTCTCAACAACTTGAACAATATTTTTTGAGAAAGGCTAAAAACTTATTTTAAATTATTGTAGATGCAGAACATTAAGAGTCTCATAAATATTAACATTTAGTTTACTTATTTCTTTATTTAAAGAATTTAATTCATTAGATCTTTTTAGGTCTAGTTTTTTGTTTTCTTGTGCTTGGAAAGTTCATTTTTGTTTATTTTCAGAGACAAAAGCCTAAAATGAGTCACTGTACTTTTAAAAAGGGGGTGGAACTTCAAAACACCCGTTTGGACCATGGACGGCCCAAAAGGGTCATCGAAGTTCTGAAAACCCGTCCAGCTGGCAGTCACTAAAACAGATTCATGGAAGAACAAAAAAGGTTGAATCATGTCATCTGGATTTCGTTTTTTTGTTAAAAAGAAACGTTTCGCCCCTCGTCCAAGAGGCTTCATCAGTCTGAGGCCTAGCCATCTGGTATTACCCAGAAGCCACCCTGACTCTTGTGTTTCAAGCCTGCCTCAGATACCCCTGAAGTCTGGCCTTTTCACTAATGGTTTCAAAAACACTGAGGCAGGCTTGAAACACAAGAGTCAGGGTGGCTTCTGGGTAATACCAGATGGCTAGGCCTCAGACTGACGAAGCCTCTTGGATGAGGGGCGAAACGTTTCTTTTTAACAAAAAAACGAAGTCCAGATGACATGATTCAACCTTTTTTGTTGTTATATACCTGGATGACTGAGAAAACAAACTTTGTGAGATTCATGGAAGGTTTGACAGGACACTGATAAAGTCGATCAACTTGTATGTTGATGATACATTATATTATTTTTTTAAATGTCCAATTTCTCCCCATCAATTATTTAATCAACTGAAATTATTTTCTTTGAAAATACTTGTTATATACAGCCAACTTTTATGAATTATTATCCAGACTTCTACTTTTTGGTAGGTCAGTGAAGGTTTGTTGTAGGATCAAGGGATTAATTATAGCTAAATATTTGTAATGTACTTAATATTGCTCATGTTGAGAAGATTGTTGTAATCTGTTTAGCTGCTAAACCTAAATCTACAAAAGGTCTACATCTGCATCAACCTCTTAAACCTGTGGGTCAAAATTATACAATTCTTTAACTGCAGTCGTGGGGCCGCACAAAATCAGTCCAAGGGCCGCAAATGGCCCTCGGGCCACAATTTGGACACCCCTGCTCTATCCAGAATGACTCAGAAATACAGGTCCTTCTTAAAAAATTAGCATATTGTGATAAAGGTCATTATTTTCCATAATGTAATGATAAAAATGAAACTTTCATATATTTCAGATTCATTGCACACCAACTGAAATATTTCAGGTCTTTAATTGTTTTAATACTGATGATTATGGCATACAGCTCATGAAAACCCAAAATGCCTGTCCCAAAAAATTAGCATATCATGAAAAGTTTCTCTAAACAAGCTATTAACCTAACCATCTGAATCAATGACGTAACTCTAAACACCTGCAAAAGATTCCTGAGGCTTTTAAAAACTCCCAGCCTTGTTCATTACTCAAAACCACAATCATGGGTAAGACTGCCGACCTGACTGCTGTCCAGAAGGCCATCATTGACACCCTCAAGCAAGAGGGTAAGACACAGAAAGAAATTGCTGAACGAACAGTCTGTTCCCAGAGTGCTGTATCAAGGCACCTCAGTGGGAAGTCTGTGGGAAGGGAAAAGTGTGGCAGAAAACGCTGCACAACGAGAAGAGGTGACCGGACCCTGAGGAGGATTGTGGAGAAGGGCCGATTCCAGACCTTGGGGGACCTGCGGAAGCAGTGGACTGAGTCTGGAGTAGAAACATCCAGAGCCACCGTGCACAGGCGTGTGCAGGAAATGGGCTACAGGTGCCGCATTCCCCAGGTCAAGCCACTTTTGAACCAGAAACAGCGGCAGAAGCGCCTGACCTGGGCTACAGAGAAGCAGCACTGGACTGTTGCTCAGTGGTTCAAAGTACTTTTTTCGGATGAAATCAAATTTTGCATGTCATTCGGAAATCAAGGTGCCTGAGTCTGGAGGAAGACTGGGGAGAAGGAAATGCCAAAATGCCAGAAGTCCAGTGTGAAGCGCCCACAGTCAGTGATGGTCTGGGGTGTCATGTCAGCTGCTGGTGTTGGTCCACTGTGTTTTATCAAGGGCAGGAACAATGCAGCTATCAGGAGATTTTGGAGCACTTCATGCTTCCATCTGCTGAAATGCTTTATGGAGATGAAGATTTCATTTTTCAGCACAACCTGGCACCTGCTCACAGTGCCAAAACCACTGGTAAATGGTTTACTGACCATGGTATTACTGTGCTCAATTGGCCTGCCAACTCTCCTGACCTGAACCCCATAGAGAACCTGTGGGATATTGTGAAGAGAAAGTTGAGAGACGCAAGACCCAACACTCTGGATGAGCTTAAGGCCGCTATCGAAGCATCCTGGGCCTCCATAACACCTCAGCAGTACCACAGGCTGATTGCCTCCATGCCACGCCGCATTGAAGCAGTCATTCATGCAAAAGGATTCCCGACCAAGTATTGAGTGCATAACTGAACATGATTATTTGAAGGTTGGTGTTTTTTGTATTAAAAACACTTGTCTTTCATTGGTGGGATGAAATATGCAAATTTTTTGGGACAGGCATTTTGGGTTTTCATGAGCTGTATGCCATAATCATCAGTATTAAAACAATTAAAGACCTGAAATATTTCAGTTGGTGTGCAATGAATCTGAAATATATGAAAGTTTCATTTTTATCATTACATTATGGAAAATAATGACCTTTATCACAATATGCTAATTTTTTTAGAAGGACCTGTA